CAACAAAAAATTACCTTTGCAGGAGTTACGTATTTTTCCGGTGTCCGATGCTACTAAAAGTTTAAGTTCTATATATTAGATGTTGTTCTCGCCCGAGAAATCCACGCGACCATCGCGATGGTATTAAAAAGTACGCCGGAAGGATTCCTGTCACGTTTGGTGGGAACAGGTAAATGGGTTCCAGAGGACGGGCGCACGGACGCGGTGGTGCCATCTTTTCGTCTGAACTGCGCTAAGACTGGATCTCTGCGAAATGGATTGTGGTGATTGTGGTGATGTTCCTGCCCCACCCCTTGCAGTCTCGGGGTGCTTTATCTAACCTCCCTTCCCTCCTCAGCTGAGTGGAATTTTCTTTTCTCCTCCTTCTGCATTGTTTCCGGGCTTAACTTATGGCCCCAAATCACAGAGCTTTCTGGCCGCGGCTCAAGCCGTATAGAAATCAATTCTCCGGAGAGCGCGCTGTTTTCTATCACGGCCAGTTTGTTCCACGGAAACACAGTAATTCTTTGCAATGAAGTAGCCTATACTCTCGGCGTTCATTCCACAAGTCTTTGTTGCCATGGCGACGCAGGGTTACTCCCACGTTCCGTGCGCCACAACGGCTGGGAAGTTGTCGCTGGTCACGGGTTCGAATCTCGGTCCAGACAGCTGCTATCCTGATAGAAAAGGTTTTCGTGCATTCCTCAGTTTCTTTGCTCAGGTGCTGGGAAAACTAGCTGACACCATGAAAGAGAGTCCCTTAGCTAGTCAAGAAATTTACCACCTTGAATGGAACCCAAGGGTTCATGACCGTGTTCATAAGAACCCACCACCTGTCCCTGTCCTGAGCCAGATTAATCCAATCCTCACACCCATCCTATTTTTCTTCAATTCATTATAATATTATTTCCCATCAATGTCTAGGTCTTCAACGAAAGTTCTGTTCGCGTTTCTCATCTACCCCATGCATGCTACATGCCCCATTTGTCTCACTCTCCTCGATTTGACCATCCTGATGAGGAGTGAAAACTACGGAGTTTCTCATTAGGTCCAGCTCAGTTCCAGATGTTCTTCCCAGCATCCTGTTCGCGAACACCTCCAATGTAATCTTTGTGGGAACAGAAAAGATTCTGAACTGCGTTTTCTCTGAATCAAATTTTCTGTCAGTTCGTTCTTTCAAGTGCTGAGCCACGTAACCTAACCGTAGGCAGTCTACGGCCACTTCCTTCCACACTCGGACGTTGGAGCTGGAGGAGCGCTGTTAAGCATCTCAAGAATAAGCCACTCCATCCTGTTATAGCGCCTGATGGTAAGGTAGTGACGAATCTTAGACAGAAATGCTCAGTCTTTCCACGTGGTGCAGCGCCGATCCCTGTAGACTTTTGTAAAGTTGCGTATATTCTCCCCACTTCGTTACGTTCCTCATTCGTGCCAGTGAATCATTTTTTGCTCTGAGGGATGAGAAAACGGCTCGCTGTGCCACGGGTGTGAAGAAATGTGTCGAAACACTGACCACTGAAACACGTTTCAGTCTCAGGGCGGCGGCAACAGTTCGTATGAAACGTCGCTGAACAAGTGGGCCCACTCATTGGCCGAGCGTGTTGGTCAGATGGTCAGCAACACTCTTGTTAAGTGTCTGGGAGTTCCCGGGTTCGAGTATATCCCCGGTGACCGGCTATTCTGACAGGTTTTTCACTGTTTGTTTCAGTGTCTCTTGGCACGCCTGAATAATAAATACCTTTAATTATTTCACTGTTGCTTTCGTCCGCCGTTGGTAACTTATCTTTCGACGGTACGTACTCTGAACTGCTGTTACCACACTTCGTGAACTCTTGTTAAGTGTCGTGGAGTGCCGGTGCAGTGGGTCAGCCTTGACACTACAGTTAAGTTACCCGCAACACACTGCTGTCGGAGAAGTTGCCTCCAGAGGACGGTGGACGAAGCAGCTTGTCTGTCCAACCGTCGACGATGTGAATTTTCTGGTCGTGGACGCCAAAATAATTTTCGGCGCTCGGGCAGTGAACAGTAGATGACTTCGGACTGGGCCACCCGAGTTTGGTCTCCAGCGGTGGCTTGAACCTTTTCCTCCGCCATAATTTTGTCCAGACCGGCTCTCGGTTCCACCCAGCATCGTTCCCCAGAGAATAAATCGGCCGTAGCGTTAGACTAACCACGTAAGTGAAATCCGAAATCAAAGACTACGTGGATCCTCACAGATCTACGTCTTTAGATCGTGGATCTCAGGAAAAATGTTGGTAAGACCGACAGACAGATGGCAGGTTGATGTTAAACTGAATGTGTGAAGCCGCGATGTGACATAGGTCCCGAGGTCCAGGGCGGGGGCCCACCGTCGGACTCCTCATTTTCCTCAAACGAGGCTCTGGAGACCAAGTCATGGCTGTATATGCTTACGCCAGTTTTTGTTGCAGCAATGCAGAGATTTTTTCGGGCGCGTGGTCCAGCAGAGGAAGAAACCGACAGACGCAGGTGAGTCTCGTGGAGCGTGGACCCCGGAATCTGACGTGGCGGAGGATATTTGCAAAACATTTTAATCTTTTAGCACGTAATTGAAAATTAATACGAGAAGCGAATAATTCTTTGCGCTGTTAAGTGTGTTTTCGTCTGTTTGCTCGTTCCGGGGTTTGTTTTGTTAATGAGATTCGGCCGCCCCGGGTCACGTCGGTGCTGATGGGATTGTTACGGCTAATTAGACAGAATAATTACAGTGTTTAACTTGAAGCTAGCTTTGTTCAGAGTAAACTAATCAACGGTTATAGGTTTCCGGAACCGCATGGGACCGGCTGCACCAACTGTTGCTGAATTAATCGGGATGTTTGTTAACCATACAGAAAGCAAAGTTGATACAGAATATTAACTGCAGAAGCTTCCTTCATAACTCATGCGTCGTTTTTATGATGTACATTTCAAAGGAATGACATTGATGTGAGTTAATATCGAAATTATTTTACCCACATCGTGGATCATTGTTCTTCAGAAGCTGACAATCTATCAGTCAAGAAATTCAGCCATTTATGAGGCATTAAAAGTTCTTTGCCGTATTACCAGAGGCCAGCTCTGGGCCTCCCCCATAGCCACTTGAATCCACTCAATACCTTCATCCTGTTTCTTTAAGCTCCGTTTTAATATTATATTTCCATGCACGTTAAGTTTGTCCCTTTCCCGACGACGAGACGCGCGCTGGGCTTAGGTGGGAAGATAATATTGAGATGGATTTTGCAGAAATGTGGTGTAAGGGCGTGAATCAAATTTTGTTTTAGCGGTGTTGAACATTCCGGCTATTTCAACTAGTTGTAGTGTTATTACACGCGTGTTAGTCTTTAAAATCGATTCCTGTTCGGTATTTCATTTCAGGACAGACAGACGAGATTGTGAAAAGTGACATTTGGTATCACTACAAGGAGGGTTTCAGCAATGCAGTGCGCAGATCGGTCAAGATGCAGGACCTGCTGGGAGCCGGGAGAATGTGAAGGAGAGGTTTGTGACGTCGTAAGACATCCTGTGTTTTGTTGCATGGGTGTGACATGTCGCGAGAATTGCAGAGGAAAATTAATTGAGAGACAAAGATCTCGTTTTCGGGTAAAGTGATGTTGGCAGATCTAGAGCAACGGATGCTGAGCAAATTTTGAGTCCTCAGCTACAAGAAAAAATGTTGCAATTCTCTTATATGTCATGAAAGTGTTTGTCTGGCCTTGATAAAGTTAGCTACAGATTGTGGATTTTGTGAAATGAAGGCGCCATAAATGTTTGTGTGTCACGGGTTTGTTGTATGTTCGTAACCTTCTAGTCTGCATCGCTCTGCTACAGAGGATGTCCTCAGCCACTACCAGCGTTGCTTCCAGTCCCCTTTCCAATCTTCAGCGCACTCCACTGTCTTCCTCCAGCATTTTATTCTCATTGTAATTTCCTATTCGTCCAACGTCCATTTTAATATTATCATCCCATCTATTTCTAGGTATCGTAACTGTAAAATATGTTGTTTCTCGATTTTGAGGAGTGGATAAGAAAAAGTAGATCCATGATGTTCTACAGCTGCTAGTTACTCAGCTCGTCAGTAACGCAAAGAATTATCTCAAACATCCCTCCTCTTCCCACTAGTCCCATGACGAGCCAGTTCAATCCACTTTGCATCCTTTCGCCGCCCGCTTTTCTAAATCAGCAATAACACTTTTGAATTACTATTTTTCTCCCAGAACGCATAAAAGCTTCACCCAGAAAAACCTGATCTGTAGTGAATTATGCAGACGATGTTAAGAATTTCTGATGGTCCTAGCAAGAAAGGATTTGCAGTAAGATCAGAGAGCATTCACGAAATGCGCCCGTCATTGAATTAAGACTCTCGTGTCTTCTCGTCATATTTACAATCACCTCAACTATAATTTTACTTTGTTGTTTTATTTGGGTGTGAAACTCTCCTTCCAAAGGTAGAAGCTAGATTAAGAAATTTTGATAAAAAATGCTCAGAAAAAGAATATTTTGAATATGAGCAACGAAGTTACAGGAGAATTGAGCGAATTGCTTGGCAAGGCACTTTTCTGCATGAATAAGTGAAGAAGGAAGGGGTGGCCAATTATCTCACACGGGCCCCATTATTCTTTACGTCATATTTATCATAATCGATTATTAGCCAATAAATCCTTCTAAAATGTGGGAGCATTCAATTCAGAATCCCTTTGTTTAAGCATCGCTGTAAAATTCTAAAGATTAAAATCTACAAGCCAAAAATATTATCAGTTGATTTCTAGTCTCTGATCATAAGAAACTAACACAGACCGACGACGTCTGGTATTTAACCAAGCACCACTTCTTGGAGACGTATGGGGACTGGAGGTATAGCTCCACGCGTTCTCAAGATGACAAAATCAGAATTAAAAAAGATTCCGTTAAAAACAAACGTGAAGAAGGAAACATTTAACGTACTTAAAACGATAGTTAATTTATAACACTGCGAAAGGAATATTATATGGGCGGGGCATGTAGCATGCATGGGAGAGATGAGAAATTCGTACAGGATTTTGGTTGGGAATCCTGGAGGAGTAGATCGCTCGGAAGACGTAGCCGTCGTGGGAGTGTGAACTAGGGTTAGGGGGGCAGCTGTTTGGCTGATGTGATCACGGAAATGAACCATATTGTTCCTATTAGTCCAGAATTTCACGACTGACTGAGCGACTGTCAGCTTCTCAAAGGACTCTGCTGCGTGGAGTGAGTTGGTTCGTTGGGTATAAATTGAACAGAAACGTTTCAAACCCACAAAATGCGGTTTCCTGGAACTGAAATACATCACGCAGATGATTTTAACAACGTTTGTTGGCTGAAAGGTTATCATGTACTTGTTGTTGAATGTCGTAGGAGAAAATTATCCCTAAACCCAGTAGCTCCACTGGGACTCGAACCCAGGACAGTTCTTCGGGGATCTGGCCTTCGTTCATGTAATTTTCTCTTCGAAACAGAAGACTTTGGTTTTTCCGCCGGTCTCTTGACGTGCTTAGTGTCACAGCCATAGGTACCACGCTCACCGGGACTCGAACTCATGACACTTTTTCCCAAGTTTTGAGTTTTTGTTAAACATGTTCCAGGTCTGAAAGACCCCAGGTTTGGTGGAAATCGGTTTTTCCGTTCTAGAGATATATAAACCCTATTCGTGTTTTATGTACGAAATGTACATAATGTGGGAGGTTGACGACGGCTGTCGTAGTCTGGTAGAAGTTCACCTACGTTTCATAGGTCCCTGATGCCTCCATCATCAGGGTGATGAGTCGTTGAAACGTTGGTAAACTATTATTAGAACAGGACGCTACAACCCAGAAGATGACCATCTTCATCTTGGCCGCCGTGAGAATGCGAGAGGTTGTTTCAAGCTAGCTTAATCCAATCACAATAGTCGTTAGCGTTAGTCGGAAGGTTAGGTTTGCGTGACCCCAGAAACTGCAGTAGAATGAAAGAAAAGTGAATATCGTTCTGTTGCAGTGTACTTTGGGACCAGCTGTAGTTACACAAACGTTCGCAACATGGCGCGCGTGCGTGACTCTTTTATTGAACTGTAATTACAAACAAGCCGTCTTACTTGCAGAACGTCTGTGATTTCCACTAGCAATGCAAATCTTTTTACTGCAAATTTCGTGAAACCCTCTCGTTCATTGTTGACAACATTACGTTCCCATGGCGACCGTAAATATGATTTCCTGTTTTCTGTGAAGTCGGGGCAGACTGCGTGACTTCATCAGGCATTCTCTTTCAGCGCAGTCGTACGTAGTGCTGCACTATGCATGAGCCCCGATGGAATTTCACTTTGCCTAATGAGTTTTATCAGCCGTCCCTACATCTTGTTTCACAATAACGTTTTTCTAACAGAGTTACCTGTCCCAATCTCGGGAATGGAGAAAAATTACATAACGGAAGCTTTACAGTACCGCGATTTAATAAATCATATGAATTAGGCAGAGCACGTAGCACGCATAGGGACCAAGCGTATGTAACCTGTGGTTTGTAGTCGGCAGATGCTGTGATTTAGCGTGGCTAGTTTATCGTGAAACTACAAATCGAATTTGACATTTAAAAAAATTGCACTCAGATCTGACGTGACCTAACAAATTTTAATGGTTGTAGTGTCATGACTTTGTCGTCAGAATCTCGTTTGCCACTAGAGGTTACACCGCGTGCAGCTTTGGTTGACTTGCGCTGTGCATAAATGCTTGATTTTAGAACGTCATGGGAAGAAACGTACCGTGATTGGAGGAAAGGCACGTAGGCATCGTAGAAAAGTGGGCCAAGATGTGATCTCGTAGGAAGAGGCTGCAATGCGGTTCACCTGGTCTGTCTGTCGCATCTCGCGCGTGGTGAAGAATGCGGGGGAATCCCACGCGCTCGAAGATAACCTTTTTGCCAGTGTCACTGGCATCCTTGAAACCCTGCAACGGGGCCGCTTCTTACGGCCCTGGGTAGAATGGGCGTGAAGAATGCGGGGGAATCCCACAACGGGGCCGCTTCTTACGGCCCTGGGTTCGAAACCGACCCTCAGAATCGATGGTTCCTCATAAACGACGCGGTTTTCATTCTCGCAGGTTTGCGCAAACACGTGCCTGTCCATCTCGAAGTCCTCGATGGACAGTGAGTGAGGGGTCAGCGTCCACGGTAAGAACGTCGTTTAATTTTGTTGCAGCGGAGGGACTGAGGCTGGCGCGAACACCCTGTGCCGCTCGCAACACAGTTATGTATGCGTCATTTCGACTCTATCCATTACGTACACAGACAGACAGACAGACACACACCGCGTTTGTTACGTCATTAGGGCTCCAGCGCGTTATTTTTTCATACAATTTGAAAATTGGAGTAACGATGTAATGGTTACCATCATTTGTGAGTTACGTATACAAATGAAGTGCGCGGCGCGCGGAGTGGGAATGGAATCTAATTATCAACTTTGCCGTAATGCGCGTTTGTGGGCACAGCCAGGCCCCAACATATATAAAGTGATATTTTACGAATGTATAGCATAACGATAATTTATGGGGGGGAGGGGGTAACTTTGTGGAACTGCATGGCAACGCTCTTCCGCGTAAACAAAAGTTCTATTGTGTCGACAGATGTTAATAACGCTGCTACCCGGCACAGAACTCTGTTGCGCGCAGTGGCGCCAATCCCAACCCTGCACTGCTTGTAGGTGGCAGGCAGAGACGGCACGTAGTTCGGTTCCCGGCAGAGGCATTACCATTGTGTCCAGACCCACTCTCAACTCCATCCGGTCTGATTATCAGGGTAAAGAGGCGACAGCTGTGTAGTTAACAACGCGTGGTGTTTTATTCACACGCCTCAACATGTGTACTCGCATTGATATCATCTTCGCCTTCACAGCTTGTTTGACGACGCAGTATCAACTCTTTGTTTTAATGCTCCGACAAGACTGAGATTCCACCACAGTAAACAGGATTTGAGTTTTTCACGGCGTTGAGTCTGAAGATGGCCGTCTTGTGGTAAACGCAGCTTAAATTATTACTGACAGCCAGTTTCGTCGGTTGTTTGGTGATCACAGGAAAATATCACGTCGTCTACTAACATATCTGTCTCATTTGGTCTACTTAGAGTTTAGAGTCTGTTCAAATAGCAGGCTGTCCAGTTCCGCGGCTGCTGTATCCCGGAGTTTAACAAGCACTGCCTTCGGTCATGATTTTTAATCAGTCCCATTCAACTTTCATCCTTACAGCCCACTTTTCTGTGATCCATCTCAGTGTTATCGTCGGTCTTGCAGGTGACTGTTTTTTCCAAGATGTCTCCCCACCGGCACTATAAATGTATTTTTTGTTTCGCCGATATAAAGCGCTGTAACATCGGGTAACGTATGGACTCGGTCTATTAATCACTAAGTTCCTCGTTGGTTAAGATCTGAAACTGCTCATTACTTTAATCCGCTTAGGTCCGAACCGCGCAAAACCAATATCTCTCTCTCTCTCTTCATTCGACGTTTAACAACCTGTGCAGTTGATGCAACGGCAGAGGGAGCAGCCAGCGTAACGTCTGCCTGACATCTTGCGTGAAGGATAATTAATTTGACGCCACCGCCTGACGGTCTTAGCGTGTTCCTCGTCACCGCGTTCCAAAACTTAAAACCAAACTCATTATTCAACGCTGTTAAGTAAAAGCTCTTCGAAAACCCATTTGGTTAATTTGTATCATGTCGTGCTGAAGTACTGTCGGCTCACAGACAGAGTGGCAACCACACCGCCACTCTGGTGCATTCCCGGGTTCCTAACGTCTCGACAACTTACGATTTACTCCTCCAGCGATCGTTTTGCCCGTTCTTTATTTAAGTCGACGCTTAATGAAAGGTCTTGGTGTGTTTCACG